CATGACTTGAGCTGAAGGCAGATGTTTAACCAACTGAGCCACCCAGGCGCCCCTGTCCTTCATTTTTGAAGGATAGTTTTTCTGATTGTAGAATTCTTGGTTCACAGTCCTTCTTTTCAGCAGTTTGACTATGTTATCCCATCTCCTTCTGCCTTTCAATGTTGTGGGGGGTTTTTTTGTTTGTTTTTGTTGTTGTTTTTTTTATGAGAAAACAGCTGTTAATTATATTGAATATCTGTTTCCCAGATGACTTGCTCCTCTCTTATTGCTTTTAAGGTTCTCTCTTTGTCTTTCACTTTTTTTTTAAGTGTACAGTTCAGTGGCCCTAAATACAATAATTACTCTGTCTAGAATTCCAATACTATGTTGAATAGAAGTGGTGAAAGTGGGCATCCTTGTATTTTTCATGTTTTATGGAAATGCTTTTAATCTTTAAGAATTGGGTATGATGTTAGTTATGGGTTTTTCACATATGGCCTTTGTTATGATGAGGTGTCTTTGATTTTAACTGCTAATATGTCTAGGTGTACTTCTCTTGTGTTTATCATTGGACTTTATTGAGTTTCTTAAATGTGCAAATTAACGTTCATTAAAATTGGGAAGTTTTTGGCCATTTCTTCTTTTGCCCCTTTCTGTCTTTTGGAACTTTCATTATGTCTGTGTTAGCACTCATGATGATACCCCACAGGTCTTTGAGGCTCTGTTCATTTTTCTTCTCTTTCTTTCTGTCCCTCAGACTGGATAATCTCAGTTGCTCTATCTTTGAGTTCTCTGTTTCTTTCTTCCACCAGGTCAGATCTCCTGTTGAGACCTCGTTGTGATTTTTCAGCTCAATTATTGTACTTCTAATTTCAGAATTTTTATTTACTTATTTACAATTTCTTTTTTTCATATTTATTTGAGAGAGAGTGTGAGCACGCATGCATGCACATGAGCGGGGGTGGGGGGGAGCGGGCAGGAGAGAATCCTCAAGCAGACTCCATGCTGACTGCAGAGCCTGATGAGGGGCTCGGTCTCATGACCCTGAGATCATGACCTGAGCGGAAATCAAGAGTCAGATGCTCAATCAACTGAGCCACAGTGGCGCCCCTGCTTATTTACAATTTCTGTCTCTTTGTTGATAGTCTCTATTTAGGAGACATTTCCTTTAGTTCTTTAGGCATCGTTTCCATCTTTGAACATACTGAAAATAGCTGATTTAAAATCTTTGTCTAGTAATCTAACATCTAGTCTCTGTCAGGGACAGTTTCTAGTTCTCTTTTTTCTTGTATATGGCCCATACTTTTGGGACATTTTAAATGATATTTTGTGGGAATTCTGGACATCAGATATAAACTGTATAAACTGTAAAACCATTTCCTCTCCCAGGATTGTTGATGGTTTTCATTATTTTGTCAGTTTTCTTACTGCTTTTATGGAGGAGAGGATTTTCTGAGGTCTTTATTATTCTGCCATTCCTGCTGACATTACTCAGTTATGCTTTGAAGTGGAGTATATTAAAGACATTTAATTTGGGTTACTGGACCCAAAAAGGCTCTAAGGTATATTAGAAGGTATTTCTCCGGGGCGCCTGCGTAGCTCAGTTGGTTAAGCAACTGCCTTCAGCTCAAGTCATGATCCCAGGGTCCGGGGATGGAGCCCTGCATCGGGCTCCTTGCTCAGCAGGGAGCCGGCTTCTCCCTCTCCCTCTGCCTGCTACTCCGCCTGCTTTTGTGCTCTGTCAGATAAATAAAGAATCTTTAAAAAAAAAAAAGTTATTTCTCCTTTTGGTACTATGAACTTGTTTTAAAAATTAATGATGTAAGTGGAAGAAGAAAAGATGACATTTCTCATCTGCCTAATTTAAGTACTTTTGTAAAGCTCCTAAATATTGCTATTCTAAACATTCTAGTAATCAGTAGTTTGATAATTCTACTTCTATATTAAACTATAGAGCTGTTTGTTTTTCCTGTTTGCCCTTCAACTTTTTAAGATTTCTTCCTTTATTCTTTCTTTGTTTCTGTACCACTCGTTTAAAACAATAAGGTTCCCCCTGCTCTGAGGAAGCTGGAGCTCTTAGGAGACTTAAGATATACATTTGTTGTATCCACTTAGTGGAATCAGGGGATTTGCAAAAAGAAGTAGCATCTGAGATCATAGGATTACTAATGCTAGAGGTAAGTTGGAAAAGAAAAACTTTTTTGGTTTTGGGTAGATTTGGGGGTGGGGGTTGTAATTTGTTGAGGGAGGGTAAACTTAAATGTGCCAAACCTAGCATAGTTCCTATTTATGAATAAGAACTACTGTTAAAAAAACAGAATAGGGCGCCTGGGTGGCTCAGTCTTTAGCGTCTGCCTTCGGCTCAGGTCATGATCCCAGGGTCCTGGGATCGAGTCCCACATCAGGCTTCCTGCCCGGCAGGAAGCCTGTTTCTCTCTCTCCCACTCCCCCTGCTTGTGATCCTGCTCTCGCTATCTCTGTCTCTGTCAAATAAATAAATAAAATCTTAAAAAAAAAAAAAAAAACAGAATAGATGATGGATGGGCCATAAACCCATGTTTATGTTAATTTCTGATACTGTGGACATCTGATATCTTTGAAGAGTATTTGAAAACATTGGAGAACTGATGGAGGATTCTGACCTTTGAAATCTTTTACAATTATAAGTTTGTACCAGAGCAGGATCCCTTATAGGACCAGTTCAGGGTTTCAGTGCCAGTTCTATTAATTCAGCAAGAGGCACTATTTTGTGGAAAGAGATACCAAACATCTGTTCTGCTTAACATTTTCTTTATCCCATGAATTTTTAGGCTCACAATTTTCCAGGATCATTACTGCTTGAATTAGCCAAGGAGTTTATTAGTGCTATCAAAGAGGGCAGCTTAACCAATGGAAAGTCTTTGGAGTTATTACCCATTATTCTCACTGCCCTTGTTGCCAACAAGGAAAATCTGGATTATGAGAAAGGTAATTTTCTTCCAATTTTAGTGGCTTTTTTGCTCGTTACTTAATCAAATTTATTTCTCAGTGTATTTTGCATTTCTAGGTGAACTGAGTGGGGAAGAATGTAAGAAGCAGTTGATTAACACCCTGTGTTCTGGCAGGTAAGTCTTATTAATGTGTAGCACTTTCTCAGATGTACAAGTGGCCAAAAAAAGGATTACAGTTTATTTCAGGAATTTGTATCACGAAGTCTTTAGTCTTTTTTTTTTTTTTTTTGGTTATAATGTACAACTGTAAAACCATTTATGTAGTCCGCGATGAATTTTTGAGAGATTACTTACTATATTTTCTGTTCTAAGACTACATATAGTTTCTGTTTACTTGACTGTTCATCTTAACACAGTTTCGTCCTCTAGCATTAATTTGGAGTCCCAAGGTCCTTAAGGCTGAGAAGTCATCCTGCTGCTATATCTTTTATATTTTTTATTTTTATTTTATTTATTTATTTTTTTAAAGATTTTATTTATTTGAGAGAGAGAATGAGAAAGAGAGAGTACATGAGAGGGGGGAGGGTCAGAGGGAGAAGCAAACTCCCTGCTGAGCAGGGAGCCCGATGTGGGACTCGATCCTGGGACTCCAGGATCTGACCTGAGCTGTGCAAGCAGTTGCTTAACCAACTAAGCCACCCAGGCGCCCCTTATATTTTTTTTTAAATGAGTAGGATATTTAAGTAATGGTTGTATCTTTAAGCCAGACATATGGGAATCTACCTTAAGGAAAGACTCCAGCATAATAAGAAAATCCTCATACATGAACATGTTCAACCCAGAAAATTGTGACCCACTTATGCGTACAATAATAGAGAAATGTAAGTTAAGGTATGTAACCTATGTAAGTTAAGGTAGAGCCACTCCATGAAATTTAAACCCATTAAAAGTGAAATATATAAAACCATCAAAGATGAAAAATCCTTACTAGTCAGTGCAATAAAGAGAATACTAAGTTGTGTAATACAATGATTACATTTGGGTACATTTTTTTTTTTTTTTAAGATTTTATTTATTTGAGAGAGAGAATGAGAGAGAGAGAGCATGAGAGGGGGGAGGGTCAGGGGAGAAGCAGACTCCCTGCTGAGCAGGGAGCCCAACATTTGGGTACATTAAAAAGAAACAGAAGGGAGCACCCAGGATTACCTAAATCAGAAATAACAGCTTTTATGGTTCTTTACATAAGATCCTTAACATACATAATTTTAAGTATGTATCAGCTCACATGTGCTTATCCATTTATTCATTTGTTTTTAAATTTAAGAAAAATGCTTTTAAAGATTTTATTTTTGGGACGCCTGGGTGGCTCAGTCAGTTGGGCGGCTGCCTTCGGCTCAGGTCATGGTCCCGGGGTCCTGGGATCGAGTCCCACATCGGGCTCCTTGCTCAGCAGGGAGCCTGCTTCTCCCTCTGCCTCTGCCTCTCCCCCTGCTTGTGCTCTGTCTCTCTCTCTCTGACAAATAAATAAAATCTTTAAAAAAAAAAATTTTTTTTTAAGTAATCTCTATACCCAACAAGGGGGTCAAACTCAACCCTGAGATCAAGAATCACATGCTCCTCCGACTGATTGAGCCAGGCACCCCTCATTTGTTTTTAATACATTGAAGAGTTTATTCCATACACATTGTAATATACCTTGCATTTTTCATTTAACACATCTGTTCATGTCAGTATACACAACTCTACATCATTCTTTTTAATAGTTCCGTACTGTTCTGTTATAAATGGCTAATCTCCAGTTGTTAAGAGTGGTGTTTTTTTTTCCCAATAAATAATATATGGTTATTTGGTTTTTTGCTGTCATAAAAAGTGTTGCAATGAACATCCTTATGTATCTAGGTGACTTTTTTTTTTTTTTTATTATGTTAACCCCCATACATTACATCATTAGTTTTAGATGAAGTGTTCCATGATTCATTGTTTGTGCATAACACCCAGTGCTCCATGCA